CGGCCTCGACTGCGGCATTATGGGCCAAGGCCGAAGGACGAAAGAGTCACGATCGAAGGGATTAGAGTCAAATCGCCACGTGGCAGCAGGGTCCCACGCTTCATTTAATGAAGTAATGCCTCTGACTAGCAAACCCACTAGCCGCAAAAGGGCATTTAATGCACGAGGGAAGAAGGGAAGTGACTAAAGTCAGGATTTGGTGACAGAAATCAGAGTGGTTAGGCACAAACATACTTACAAATATTCTTACAAATTGAAGTCAGATCACCAACCACCAAACAAGGGCATTAAATGCCCCACGGCCAGAAGCGCAGAACCCACGATCAGGGCGGCGGTCGAGATTTACCAGGATTTCACGATCCCAAATGTCGATTAGACTACCCACTTGTTCTAATCAAGCTCCACCATGCAGATTTTCAGCCTCAATTACTCCTCCAAGAGCTTTTCCTATAAATATCAAGCTTGAGCTACATTCAAAGGGTTCAAACACCAAACCAAAGCCTCCCACGGAGCAAATTATATTTTCCTGTAATGCACTTTCAATATTTTTACTTGCTTTCCTAGGAGTAGTGTTAGATTGTAAGGAAAATCCGTTCATCAATATATCATATGACCCTTGATTTTCAAGGCGCCGGAGCACCATCTCTGTTAATCTCTCATTCACCCCATATATCATACGACCGTCGCTCCCTGAGCAACGCGCCGGAGCACCACCCAAAATCCACCATCAATACCACCACTAAACGGCCTTGTAGCTCAAGCCGTGAACCTGACGGCCGAAATCAGTTCCTCTCTCGGCCACAATCGTTTGATTAGGAGTCGAACCCAAACAGGCCCACCACTTAACCATTTCATCTACATCACCATCTCGACGCACGGTAGATCGTGCTGGCACGCCCGCGTACAACCGCACCGCATCCAAAAGAAGGACGTCACATGTTAAACGCATATAACACTCATACTATTTGTTTTGGAAAAGCAGACTTATTTCATAAAACATTTTGCTTTGAAAGAGTGCCTATTACTACTAATGAAATGATTTGCTTTCTTAATTGAACATATAGTTATCTTAAGCCCTTAAGATGATCATAAACTTGTAGGTTGATCCAACAAGAGCCTTATGGTGGATCTTAGGTCTCAGGACGCTGGTTTAATTTAGTTATGCATTTAACTACATGGATACATTCCTAATTGAGCTTAAGGCCCATCTAGCTTGAGCCTTGGACTTCATCTCTTATTTTCTTCTTCTTCATGTGCCTCCTTTGTAAATTACAACATATGATAAGAAACTCTAGCCCAATGGGTTAGAGGGAATTCCATAATGGGGAAAGAAAGAATTACAATAGATAACAGAGATAAGAGAGGTATGCAAGCCTCTATTTGTTTACAAAATGAATCATTTAGTGATAATTAAATTACATTCGGGGTTTAGATCTCTGAAGGGCTATTTGAGGAGCTATTCAAGGTACTAACTAGAACGCCTTTCATGGGTGAGGCTGTGTTGGGGAGTTAGGATGGTTCAATCCACCCAATACAACCCTCAATCAAATGGCACATTTGAGGCTAGCAATAAGGTGATAAAGGGGTTCTTGGAAAAATGATTGAGAATAATCCCAAAGAATGACATTCTCTCATCTTCAATACTTTATGGGTATATAGGACCTTGAAAAGGTCTAGTTCAGGAGACAGGCTTCACTTGAACCTGGAGCATATCGGCCGATTCAAGGCTCAATGTGCTGAGATTGGAGATCTTGAGGCGTTGAAATTAAGGCTATTCCTGAGCACTCGTACGGGAGCTACTATCTCATCACTACTACAAAAAGTGAAAAAGACGACGGTAGAAGAAAAAACCGTCGTGGATAAGTGACTTAAACAACCAAAAAACGGAGGTGCTATTGAATATTTTTTTATAACGACGCACACAAATAAAAAAGCGTCGTCTTATTAAAAAGGTTTTCTTCAGAGTTAAAATCTGACCAAAATCTGACCAAAAAACGACGACAGCAGATATGACAAGCGTCGTCTTTTAAAAATCAAGTGTCTTGTTTTTGGTAAAGACATGGTTGTTTTGAAAAAACTGTCGTCTATTATATGTAAAGATGACGGTTTTTTTTTTAAAAGGGTCGTCTATTATATGTAAAGATGACGTTTTTTTGTAAAAAAGGGTCGTCTATTGTGAAGTAAAGATGACGGTTTTTTTTAAAAAAGGGTCGTCTATTATATGTAAGGATGACGCTTTTTTGTAAAAAAGGGTCGTCTATTGTGAAGTAAAGATGGCAGTTTTTTTTAAAAAGGGTCGTCTATTATATGTAAAGATGACGCTTTTTATAAAAAAACCGTCGTCTATTATATTTAAGGACGACGGTTTTTTTTTAAAAGGGTCGTCTATTATATGCAAAGATGACGCTTTTTTATAAAAAAAAAGGTCGCCTATTATAGGTAAAGATGACCTTTTTTTTTAAAAAAAAGAGTCGTTTATTATATGTAAAGATGACGGTTTTTTTTTATAAAAGCATCGTCTTTTAAAACACGCTAAAAAATGGCCGCTTAAGTGAATTCGTGCTCGACAAATTTTCAAATTTTCACCCGTCTTTAAAAACCTTATCTCTCATTAACAAGTGTCGTCTTTTAAAACACGCTAAAAAAAGGCTACTTAAGTGAATTTGCGCTCGACAAATTTTCAGATTTTCCGCAGATTTTCCCCCGTCTCTGAAAACCTTATCTCTCCCTCCTTGAAACCCTCCTGCACTCTCTAAAACACCCTCATGAAACTCTCTACAAAATCATCAAAAAATCGATATCAATGAAAGAGTTGAGAGATTTTCGCAGATCCATAAGATGTAGAGGGAGGTTCTGTATTTGAGAATCAAAGCTGGTTGAAAGGTTTGATTTGAAACTCATCTAATCTCTCAATACCCTTCTATATCTTGCTAGTGAATTCTGGATTAGTCTCTTTGCGTTTCTAGTATGTTCTTTGTCTCCCTGATCTCAAATTTTCTGTCTCTCTTGATTTGTCTGGTTTGTTTATATATATTTTTTTTATATTTCTGGTTTCTTTTTAGATTTTCTGATTTTATTATCAGGAGATGAGGAGGAAGCTTGCAGATTTATAACTTTTTCTTTTGCAGGTTTTCTATGTGAGTCATATGTTTTTTTGTTGTTGAAAATTTGTCACCTTCTCGTTTCACTATCATTTTATTTATATATTTTTTCTTTTGCAGGTTCTTGATGGTCTTTTTTATGCTCATTTTACAAGTTTAAATATGGTCCAATGGTAAAATTTCTCTTCCACCTAATTTTTTATGTTTATAATCTTAGGTTTTTTTTTTTTTCTCTCTTTGTCATTTTGATTTATTTATAGGGATGATGGAGGAGACTTCAGTTGTGCATCATTTGCAAAAGGGTCATCTATTATATGTAAAGATGACGGTTTTTTTAAAAAAGGGTCATCTATTATATGTAAAGATGACGGTTTTTTTAAAAAAGGGTCATCTATTATATGTAAAGATGACGGTTTTTTTAAAAAAGGGTCATCTATTATATGTAAAGATGACGGTTTTTTTAAAAAAGGGTCATCTATTATATGTAAAGATGACGGTTTTTTTAAAAAAGGGTCATCTATTATATGTAAAGATGACGGTTTTTTTAAAAAAGGGTCATCTATTATATGTAAAGATGACGGTTTTTTTAAAAAAGGGTCATCTATTATATGTAAAGATGACGGTTTTTTTAAAAAAGGGTCGTCTATTGTGAAGTAAAGATGACTGTTTTTAAAAAAAAATGGTCGTCTATTGTATGTAAAGATGACAGTTTTCATAAAAAACCGTCATCTTTACATACAATACACGACGGTTAAAAACCGTCGTCTTTCATCCTATAATTAACGATCTTTACCTTTAAACAACGACGATTTTCTTTAAAAACCGTCGTCTTTACAGATAAACAACGACGGTGAAAAGCCGTCGTAGTAGTGCATGGTATGTCAATTTCATCCCGAATAGGATGACCAAGAAGCAGATCTTGCATGAACAATTCTATGGGCTGGAGCCAGAGATCTCGATGACCGACTTGGAGAAGATGCACCAAGGATCGAATGAGTAGGTACAAGAATACTTTGGGAGGTTGATAGAAACAAGGTTTAGATGCACTGTCAATATACCGGAGCATGAGTTCGCAAAGTTGGCCCAAAGTGGGTTACTGCTCGACTTTTGGAAGAAGTCTGAGGGGATTGAGTTCCACATGAAGCTCTTCTGAAGGAAGACCAATAGAGGAATCTGGCAACTTCTTGGCCATCCTTTTATAGGGATCCACCAAAGACCTCTACATCTGGAACCACAGTTGTTCATATTGTGGATGTCGAAGATCTGGAGTAAGTGGAAAGAAATGATGAAGTGTTTCTAGAGCATGAAAAGGACTCAGCGAAGGTAAACTTGGCCAAGATTGTGGTCAATGTGCCATATGTGTACAAGGCTTCATCTAAACCCGAATAAATCTTTGACCAACTTTTAAAAGAAAAGATCGAAAGATTGTCTAATATTTCGTTGGCCAATGAACTTAGGAATAAGACTTATTGTAAGTGGCATAATGTGTGGTCTCACGCAATTAACAATTGTCTTGTTTTCTAGAATGCATTGCAGGACTTTCTTGATCGAAAGATCTAGAAATCCTCATAGAAAGCTACAATAAGCGTCGATCAGAACCCTTTCCTAAATGGTCAAGTCAACATGCACTACAAGAAAATAGGCCTTAGTTGACACTTAATAGTTGACGTTTTTTGCAAAACCATCAACTATTTTATGAAACTTTGACGCCTTTTTAAAAGCGTCAACTACTTAGCGAGTTTACTTGATGTTTTACAAAAAACATCAACTATATATCACTTTCCTTGACACTTTTAAAAAACCGTCAACTCTATATTACTTTTCCTTAACATTTTATAAAGAATGTCAATTGTTTATTACTTTTCGCTGACATTTTACGAAGAATTTCAATTAAAACCATTTTATACCAGCTGACACTTTTCTAAAATATCCTCAGGAAAAGAGCGCGCTAAGTTCGCGGGCATTTCACTCCAAATTCATCTAAGTGTTTTGCCCTATATTCAACTCCTCTTCCTCTTGGTCACCACTTTTTCCCTTCATTCCAAAACCAAAAATATCAGAGTCCTTAGGGTTTTCCACTCTTCATTTCTTAAATTGGATACAGAAGTTCGAAGAGAATGTGAGTATCAAATCTTAGTGTGCTCATGCTCTGCTAGTTGGGGTGGCAACAATTCAGGTGTATTTCTTATCTATCCAAAGTTATTATAGTTCATATGAATGTATTTTTGCCCACTCTGTTCATCTTTCATTCTCTACAGAGTATTTTCTCTCTCTATGTACATCTCTCAGAAAGTTTTGTGCTTTCTTTCCATTCCTTAGGTACCTGACATGAATCTCACTCAATCTCAAGATGCTTCGGGGAGTTGAACCAGGGAGAACGTTGAAATGGGAGAAAAGTGAAGATTTTTAACAAACAATCAAGAATATTGAAGAGTTTGCTGCCGACAAAGAACTGGGTTTGTGTTCTTTATTGGCCAATATTCCTAATTTTTTCAAGCTTTATAGGTGGGCATTCAATATCTCTACATATCTGAACTACAACTAATCGAATTCAAAAAAAATTAGCATAATTTTTAAGTAATATAAATTATCACTCTCCAGTCAAGTTTAGTTGAGTAGTGGAGTTAGATTCCTTTCTTCTTATCTTTCCCATGGATTTGAATTGTATTCTTTGTCTTATTAGGAAATTAGGATAGTTCCTCTTCTTTTTAGTTAGTGGCGGCAAGGAGTGCCCACCACCTACTCGACATTTTCCCTCACTGAATTTACTACATCTCTTTATATTTAATCAACATATCAATATCATTTTATTTATAATAAAAAATTCAAGATATCACTATCTTGTGGCACTGTAAAAAAAAAAAATAGAACATGCAAATTCATCTTTGTTGGATGATAAAATTGATTAGGAAAGGTTCTTATGCTAATATAATATAGGTTATAGGTCTTTTCGTGAACTTTTTAATGCTTTTGTGTTTTAGTTTTTGTTAATTGGTGATATTATGTCTTCTGGTAATGTATGGCTGGTTGTTTTGATATAAGTTATAACTATAAATTGAGATCAGTAGCTTTTTTCTTCTAGAAAGGAATATATATATATGCTTATTGGCAATAGTAATATACTATTTTAATTTAATTAGGATGATTCTATTATAAAAAACCTATAGATCTAGAAGAAATTGATTACCAATTTTAATCATACTTTTCTGGTATTAGTTCAGTAATTGCAGCCAAGTATTATTATTATTATTTTTTGTATGAAAAGGAAGTATGATTTACAAATTTCTATACATTTCTATTTATATATTGCATTGCAAGATTAATTCTTATCTTGGTAATGTGTGTAACCATTGGTGAAGAGAATGAAGTGGCCTATATTGCAGGGAAGGTTTTTTTAGTTTGAAATGGATAAAACTTGGATGTCAAAAGATCGAATGTCAAAAGAATATGAAGATGGTGTTGAGCAATTTATTGTGTTTGCTATAAGTCATGCTAGTAACCCCAAACTCATTAAATGTCCATGCCAAGTATGTGGAAATTTGATGTTTGAGACTCCTAAAGGGATAAGAGATCATATGTTTATAAGAGGTGTTGATCAAAGTTATAAGATATGGAGTTGGCATGGGGAGGTGGCTGATATTGGAGGAACAACAAGTAGGGAAGTAAATTTTGATCAGTCACCTAAATACGAGGAGGTCCAAGAAACTTTACAAATGGTTAATGCTGCTTATGATCCTTGTACTGCCAACCATGATTCTTTTACATGTCTTACTTCAATGCTTGAACTTACAGTGAGTTGTATCATTTTATACATGAGGTAAGCCAATGCTACATGACATTTTTTTGAGGTATATTGTATTGCACTGCTTTGACGTATTTCACTTTGTTTAGACAATTATATGATCATATGAAGGCTGAAGGTCTACTTCAGATGTTTGGCTTTATCAATCCTGCTATTGTATCATTGGCTGGAAATTTAAATAATCAACGAAAACGGGATGAGAGATCACGAAATATAGCAGATCGTTTGGTGAAGGCAAAAAAAAATCAACTCATAATCATGCCTTATAATCCTGCGTAAGACTACTCTTCAAAGCTTATTAATTTAGATTTGATTATGTAAAATTTACTGAACTCGACTAATATGTACATATTCATTTGCCATAGGTTCCACTGGATCTTAATTGTCATTGACTTCTCATCCATGACTGTTTATTATTTGGACCCATTAAGGAATGATATTTATGAGGATGTCAGAGTAGTTGTAGACAAGTAAGCCATTTCCTATTATATTAAAATTTTAACATACTTTTCATTATGATACAATCAACTAAACTAATGATATTATGCTGGTCTATAATTTGTCTAGTGGGGTTCGAATCTTATATATATATTTCAGTCTTTGCTCTGTTAAATCAATTTATTGTATTTTATTACAATGAGTATGCTAACTTGGTATATGCTGTGTGAGATCTTATTGGCTATTTCACTCAATTAATATTAGCTCTCACTTGGTAGATGATGTGTGATGGGAATTCCAATTTTGGCTTTTTGAGAAGATGATATATAGGATCACAAATGTGATTTCCAGTAAGCTCTCTGTTTTTTGGAAAGAAAGTGAAAGCCATTGATTGTTTGTATGGCTGCTGTGGTCTTAGAATCTTCATGAAATATGGTAAATTTGTTCATAGTTTATACTTTTCATGTATGTTACTTTTCATCTTTGGCAGTTTTGGCAGTTTTGTATCATATGTAACTGCGAAATTGTTTGCCCACTGCAAAATTAAGTATCATATGCAGTTTTGTTTGGCAGGTCTTGTTTGGCAGTTTTGTTGTAAGGCTGCTGGTCATCTGTTTTGAAGGTCTTGTGTGTGCTTATATTCTATTTTTGTCACTTATAAAGTTATTTGTGCAGTTAGACTCTAGTAGTTGTACTACTTGATTATTTGATCCTACTATCTTTCTTTTAATGTGCATTTCAGGTCCTATCGAAGTAAGAACTCTCTGGATGTAAAATGGGGAATATTGTACTAGAACACAAGAGGTTTCTACTGGAAAAACTCATTTTATTTATGAATTTTAGTGTGTATATTTGGCAATGCATGGCTTGTATAGTTTGTTGAAACTAAGTGAACAAATGCACTAGTATGATGTATTTTCAGTTGATTAGTTTCAATACATGCAAATTATTTTTAGAAGTATTCTGTGCTTTGAATTATTTTTTATTGTGATAAAGTTAGCTCTTTTGGTTTCCCAGATTTGGTTTTGATTAAGTGATAAGCTCTTAATAATGAGATTAGTTTTCATAGTTGTAAAATAATATATTGCATAGGCCAAACCTAGTCCCAGCTGGATTTTATAAAAATAAAAAAATAATAAATAAAAATAAAAAAAGGGCTCTTTATCCCCACCTAGTCTAGCGGGATTATAAAAAAATTGTTGGCTCCCCCTTGTTTGGGAAAAAAAAAAAGGACACATACAACAAATGTCACATACGTGATGCATTTTAGCCGTCAAGTAAACTTCCATGTGACGGTTCTTACATGTCAAGTGATTTTAATTGCCACTTATTAGATGTCAAATAACTACAATGTTGATACTTAGAGCCATCAATGAATTGTTAGTTGACGGTTAAAAGGAGTCAAGCGGAACGATTAGTTGACGGTTACAAAGCGTCAAGCACAACGATTACTTGACGGTTAAAAGGCGTCAAACATAATAGTTACTTGACGGCTCAAAGCCGTCAAGCGTAAGGATTACTTGACACTTCAAAAGCGTCAATAAATGGGGTACCCCTTTCCTGACAGTGGTATTCTTGACGGTTTCTGCACCGTCAAGTATTACGTTTCCTGACACTTTTTAGCCGTCACTAAAGGGTGTTTTTCTTGTAGTGATGGTGAATGCCAACTTGCTAAGGCTAGACAAACTTAGACAAAGGTTGGATTTAGGTAGCTTAAGGAAGGCCACAACGAAGAGAGGGAAAAACGGGGGACCCAGATGGATCCCAATTCGAAAGACAAGGCCAAGATGTACCCAAAGGAGAAGCCTTCAAAGGAAATCATGCTATCCAGCTGCCAATGCGAGTTTATACTAAAGGTGATTCCGCCAAAGCCTAAGGAATTGACCAAGGAGCAAACTAGGGAGCCAGCCAAGGATCAAGTCAAAGTGAGCAGACCCAGTAGCTCTTAGACGAATGTGATAGCAAGTCATGCCGAGAACCAAGTCCCCTCAATTTTTATCTCTATTTCCTCAAGCATCCTCTTTCTTTTCATTACTTCTTCTTTCCGAGAAAGAGAAGAGAAGAAGAGAGCGGAGAAGAAGGAGAAGGAATCTCAATTTTCAGGAGAGGAACATAAAACATAAGAGGAAATTGGCAGTTAGATTTTTCATGATCCTTACTATTTGTATGGCTTATCTTTTCAATTGGCGCATGACCCTAACCCCTTTCCAATTAATTAAAAGGCTTAAATGCCATGGTCCAAGGTTACTTATTTTACTTTCCAGTGGTGGACGAATATCGAGACTTTTTTCCAAATAACTTATTGGAAATACCACTACTAAGAGAAGTGTAGTTTAGGATGGATTTGGTAATGATACTCAGCCAATTTTTATCCGAGCCTACTAGATGGTGTCAATATAGTTGGAATAGCTAAAGGTACAATTAGAGTATTTGCTGAAGAAGGGTTTTATTAGAGAAAGTAAATCACCTTGGGCAGCTCTGGTATTGTTTGCCAAGAAGCATGACGGCACGGTCCGTGTATCATCAGTTAAGGGTAAGAGATAAGGAGACACCGAAAATAGCTTTTCGTACTTGATATGTTCACTATGAGTTTGTGTTGATGTTGTTTGGTTTGAAAAACGTACATGTCACGTTCATGGACATCATAAATCGCATGTTCTGCTGTACTTGGATATGTTTGTCATCATGTTCATTGATGACATTCTCATCTATTCGAGGTCTCGGGAAGAAGACAAGCAATATTTGAGGATTGTCTTGGAGACCTTATTAGAGAACCAATTGTATGCAAACTACTCTTGGGTGATGGAGTCCATGTTGATCCAAGTAAAATTGCAGCAATACATAAATGGGAAAGACCAAAGAGTGTGGCGCAGATAAGATGTTTTCTTGGTTTAGATGGATAATACCAGAGATTTGTGGAGGATTTTTCGAACATCGCAACTCCGTTGACTTAGTTGACCAAGAAAGGAATGAAGTTTGAATTGAGTAATAAGTGTGGGAAGTATTTTGAAGAGTTCAAGACAAGAACAGCTTCAGTGTTGGTTTTGTCAAATGACAAGGATCCAGAAAAAGTTTACACTAATGCTTCGGGTACTTGGGTGGGTGTTGATGCATAATGGGAGAGTGGTTGCTTGTGCATCAAGACAGTTGAAGAATCATTAGAAGAACTACCCTACACCTGAGTTGGAGCTTGGAACAATAGTTCATGTGTCGAAGACTTAGAGGTGTTATCTGTATGGGAAGTGGTTCAATGTCTACTCATATCACAAGGGTCTCAAGTATATCCACCCAACGTGATCTAAATCTCATACAAAGAAGGTGGATGAAGTATATGAAAGATTATGACTTCGAGCTATTGTGTCATCCACGAAAGTCGAATGTGGTTGTCGATGCCTTGAGTAGGAAGACTCGAAGTATGTTAGCAAGTTTAATGCTAACATACTGATATTTCTTCAAAACGATCGAAGAGTATTGGTTGGAACTACGAAGAGACAACATTTTAATTAGTTTATTTAGTTTAATTTTGTAATAAAGTAATATATATTAGCCTTATCTAATTACTTTAATTAGTAATTAGCTTCTAATTTGTATTTATTTAGTGAATAATTTGTACTTAACAATTTTTAATAATTTCCTAAATTACTTAGTAATTAGTAATTATTTTATAAATTATTTTTTGGACTTTAAAAATTAGTTTTTAATTTCCAAAATTATTTAAAAATCCTAGAAAACTATTTGAAATACCAAAAATATTTTACAACTTATTTTAGTGTTCCAAAATTTGTTTTTAGCCTCCAAATCCTAAATCCAAGTCCCTAACCAAAAACCCTAACTTCCGAACTTTTTCAAACTTGTTCTAAAACCATTTCTAAGTCTCGAACCATAACCCTAAAACTACTCTAGGGAACTTAGGACTCGATTAAGGTTGAATACTCACGCAACTTGACCTAGGGTTCTACAATTAGGGTTTCGATCCCAACCTACACATAGTACAACATAACCGGACCTAAGCTTAGTTAGTTGAATTCGCCTTGAGGTAGAGTTTAACAAGTGTTTTGTTGTCGGAATAGGGAATCTAGTTACCTAAGAAAGATGTTAGCGACATGTGGTTTGGTGACAAACTTTGTGCGAGCAGGCTCAAGCTTGCAATCTAGGAAGGGGGACTCACTCCAAGACTTGTATTTTCGTGCTTGTATTATTGTAATAGATATTGATGCATGAGAAAACTGCATAGTTTTTGTTTGCCATTTGATGTTTGGTTTTGGTGAGAATATGGGTGCTGGAAATATGCCCTAAAGCCAAACATGTGATGTAGCTTTCTGAATATTTCACCATTATTTATGGGCAAGATCGTTGTTTTCAACTATGATATTTGGTCTATAATCATAACAGTAAAAAGTAGTCCTTGGAATATGAAAAAATTTCCTTGGCATATAAGGAGACCTCTCATACTTTCACAAAATTTCCTAAACAGTCCTAGTCATAGGATTATCAATTGGGCATTGACCATATGCAAAAATTAGTGCACCTGCTCGATTAGGAGAATGAGTAGTCTCAAATCATTGCATGTAGAGACATTAAGATGAGTGTGTAGGTGCTTAGAGAGATAAGTACACTAAACGCGATCACACCATGAGTTCTAGGATGGAGGTCTTTACTTGAATGTCAAACTAGAACTCATAAGTTGTAATAGTACAAACTAGTCCTTAGACCTAAGACACCATATGGTGTCTTATGAGCAAGTCGTTTGTCTTTGAAAAAACTATATGGTCATGTCAAGAGATATGATTCAAAAGTTTTATCGGGATTCTCGATGAACTCATAGAGGGAAGTGAATGTACAAAAAGGGATCTCTGCTCTCAATGAAGAGAGAGAATGCTCCAAAGATATGATTGGGGAATCTTTGCAAAGTAGTCTATATGACTAGAGAGGAAGTTTCTACACATAACCAACGAAATCTGCTAAAGCCTAGGCTTTTATAGCAGTCCTTGGTGTGTAGAGAAGGTCGTGCTAACTCAATTCTATAGCCCATTTCATGAGTCTCTGAGAAGTGTTAGGGCTATGGAGAATTGATCTGAAAGGAAAGTCGATCATGACAATGATCCGGTGAGCTTAGTTGTAGGGTCTTAACTTTCTTGCAGAAACTGCAAGGGCCAAAATGAGCTTCTCCACTTTTCGATAGCGAGTCTCTGTATCGAGGAGAGCTTTTAATTGTAGAATACCAGATGTTGAGCCCCCTTCTCGGATAAGAGCTAAGCTGACAGCTGAGTCGGAAACTGCCAGGTAAATGAATAAATCTTGGCATGGTACATGTTTTTAGAGTGAGGGAGGTGAAGTGAGGTAGGTCTTCAGGTTTTTAGAGTTAGAAATTTAATGGAGATCAAATCCCTAATTTATGGTATTATTCCTATTTGAAGTCTAAACAATTGACCAATCAAATGGAGCGCAATTATTGACCTAAAGGAATATTTGAATTGTCCACGTGGCGCCTCATAATTTGTTGCCGAAATATTTGCTTCCACAGGGGGCGCAAAATGTGCCCCTCAATAAAAGTGAACAAATACATTAAAATTTTCAACATTAGATAAATTTGAATCCTAAATTTATCATAATTCAGACTCTCTTTCCCTCGTCATTTGGGTAACCCAATAGCTTTGTAATATGGATCCGAACCATCTGCTTGTTTTTTCTCCAATTATTATTTATTAGCCTCTTCGCACGCGCTTCCAAGTCTGCTAGAGGCTTTCTTTTAAAAAAAGAAATTAATTTATTTTAGAATTAAAAAAGATAATGGGTAGTTGTGTTCCATAAAAATCGGATCCATTATTTGTGACAGAACCCGACCCAAATTCCAATTTGGAATCTGAGCCGAGCCTTGTGCGTGTCCGACACCTGGCGGTTGCCGGACACAATTGACCATATTGCCCTTCTAACCAAAATTCCATGAAAATTCAGGTGTGACTTCTGCCGAAAATTCAGCAGAGTCTCCCCTGTAAATTGCTCATTCCCAAAAATTTTACCTGTCGAATATATATATATATCACAACTGCCAGCATGTATTCAACTTTTATCCAGACAAACCAACTATAATTTAACGGCCTCATGCCTCTCGTAAACAAATAAAATGTTCTGCCAGCAGCAACGGATTCAAAGATATAACGCGAATACATTTATGGGTTTCAAAATGACTTAACTGAACCACTTTTCAAACACTGGGTCTCGTGGCTGCACCTGGTAACTCTAGGTTGCCTACGTACCCTTAACAAGGGATCAAGCCACACGTAGTTCTTTTTACCCTTTTTCTTCATATATGTATAAATCCTTATTATTTGTTATAGTTCAATATGATATCAACCAATCCAGGTCTTATATTAATAATATACTTGATGGCATTCACCAGCTATCCTTGTATTAAAACCAGACCTCATATCACCATATGTGAGACGTCCTCGCAGGCCTTGGTGACCCAAAGTCGACTCAAGCTGCAATCCTCGCTGAATCAGGAGACGTTTAGTCCAACTGATCTGCATTCCTCACTCCCTAAGACTCGTGGGGCAACAGTCAATCATACTGATTTATTCAACAGCAATCATAACAATCAGGTAACATGGTTATATTCCGAAAGTAATATAAATATTTGAAATCAAGCTGGCATGGTTGGGAAGTAAGCTTTTATAATAACTCCTTATGATTAGGTAATTAAACTTAAATGGCATAAGATCACTTAATAAACAAAAAGTTCACTCACTGAATTTCCTCTAGTTCATAGATCAATTTATGTATTGCTGGCTTAGATTAATATATTTGTGTATATATATAATAGAAATAAAAAATAGAACAAACATTGATGATAACATTTTAACCTTTCTTTCAAACCTTATGTGAACTCAATTATAAATACATATATGTTTATAAAGATTTATAATTAACTTATTATAGGAAAGTAGGAAAACGAGAAAATTATTAAAGTAATATATGTATTGCTCTTTCACTTATAAACAAACTCATAGCTTAAGAAATTTATTGTAATTTGTGTAAAATCCTTTAATTTAGAAAACTCACCACTCGGACGTACCCCCATCCATATTCCGTCAATTCCATCCTCGCAGGCCTCGGAGACACCAAGTACACTCGAGACACCAAGTCAATTCGAGCCGCAATCCTCGCACCACAAGTTTCGGGTGTCCCCGAAACTTGTGGGGCATGTCATAAATGACAAATGGTTTCAAGACACTGGGGGGTACTCCTTTGGTAGGTTTGAAAGTCATATTCAGAAATTTATCACAAACTTTGCCTTCTATTCCACAAATCTATTTTCTGCTACTGAGTCTATGGACTCAATATAGATCTATATTTAAATATTTAACTAGTTTGTTAGTCCCTTCGGACTCTGATTAACAACCCCTTCCAATATTATATTTATAATCTTAACAACAAAATTCACCATATGAATAAGTAAATAGGTGATAAATGAACAGATAAATAAATACTCATACTTTTAAAGATTTCCTTAGCTCCAATTATGCATAATTCCCAAACACTGAAATAACCCTTAGATATACCCTCGCATAGTATAATATGCTTCCAATAATGCATGCTCATCTCGAGATCATATATATTCATGAAATTAATGCCATAATTAAACCAATGAACACTCGCACGTACATGAGCTTCCTAAAAGCTCCTACACAAACAGTAGAACTCATCATCATTATTTTATTCGAAATCCTGGCCCTGGGTTCCTAGAAGTACGTGCACTAACTTTAAAGTCATTCCTACGCCCACAAAAGCTTTCCCAAGGTTTAGAATGATCTAAGAGTGTCTTGGGACTCAAAAAGCGAAGATGTCCCAAAAGGTCAACCTGGGACCTCGTGGGGTCCACGATCTCAAAATTCCGATCCGGAAGTTCCTAGAGATTCCAATATACCTAGGACACATGTTCCGAGAGTTTAGTCTCGATCGGACGGTTGGATTGATCACGATCGCTCGATCGGACAACGGTTCCTATAACCCTAGCCCTAGGGTTGGCATTTTCGAAGTATCCGGGACTCCGATTTACGATCCATCGAATCCTATACGATCCTGGAATTATGTAGATCAACATATATGAAATTGACTATGATCCAACGGTTCAAACGTATCGAACCCGGAAATCGCACAATAGGTGAGATCCGGATTGAAATCCGCAAGTTCCTACGTTGTCGTGAAAACACGAGGATCGCTCTAGGACTGGAAGTGGTCCCTGACACCCAGCCCATGCGCCGGCAGCGCGTGGGTGTGCAGAGTAAATTCCGACGGCCGGAATTTCTTCAAATCGCCGGTCCAAACTCCTACCCTAGGTGTAACGCCCCATTTCGAACCACTTTTGTTCTTGGACCTACCCCAAAAAATGAGTGGAAGTGGCCGGAATTGCGATCCCAAAATCGGCCAAAATCCAATTCGAAAATTAACCCACCAAACTTAGAAATTCCTCAAATCCTGCCCAACCATCAGCTATAGCATGGAAAATAGCTAGAAATCCATACCTTACTTGCCCGGATTGGTGGCTGGAGGAGAGAGATATCGCGGGCCAAACCAGCCGGAATTCTCGAGTTTTCGACAAAATCGTGGCGTAGGCAGGCGGGGAAGGGGTCAGGCTGAGCTGCTAAGGTGACGCCGGTCCTTTTTGGACCGTTCCGGCGTCCTGTGGTGGTGGGTTGTGGTGGAGGGAGGTGCGATTGGAGGTGTCGAAGGGGGGGGGGGAGCTGCAATGCGAGAGAGAGAGGAGGGAGAAGAGAGAAAGGGGTTGTTCTAAAAAAAATCTGATCCGCAAAATTACTATTTTGCACCTCACTGTATTTCAATCGTATTTTCTTCACTACGACTCGGATTTGAGCCCACTACGTTCAGTGTGATCTATGCAATGGTCCAATAAAAATTTTTAAATTCCTTCCCGATCAAAATGTCAACTTTAAACCTAATAAAATATTCTAGGGGTATAATTGTCTTTTAAGTGATTATTTTATTAATTAAATATTAATTTAGGATCGGGTTATTACAATTTGATTTTTCTTTTAATTTTAATTTTTTTAATATGAAAAAGTGTGAATTTAACATATTATCCTTATTTAATTAATAATTTCAATTCTTAATGTTTGCATTAACTAAGGGCATTTTCTGGTATTTTGAATGTTTCACCATTCTCTGCCTTTTGCTTTATATATACTAGCCTCTCCACACGTGCTTCCGCGCCTGCGAGAGGCTTTTTTTTTTTTTTTTTAAATTTTAAATTTATTTTAGAATTAAAAAAGATAATGGGTAGTTGTGTTCCATAAAAGTAGGATTCATTATCTGATTTTTCTTTTAATTTTAATTTTTTAAAATATGAAAAAGTGTGAATTTACCATATTATCCTCATTTAATTAATAATTTCAATTCTTAATGTTTTCATTAACCAATGGCATTTTCTGGTATTTTGAATGTTTCACGATTCTCTGCCTTTTGCTTTATATATAGATATACAGATATAGATATAGATAACTTGCCACGTCACTGTTTAATTTCTTATAGCAATGTTGACTCTAAATTGAATTTCTCTTAAATTAATTTTCTTAGTTGGCGTCTTGTAACACTATTCCTTCCTTGTGTCCAAATCAGGAAAGTCGCGACTTCCTAGGACTCCTTCAGAGACTTGCGGATTAAGAAACCCTACATTCCTCTAACTTCCCAAGGCCCGTATATAAACCGACGCAAACAGAAGCCGAACAGACGACCGCTCTGAACTTTTGGTCAAAACCGCTCAACTTCCAATTTCAAAACATAAACAAAGAGAGCAAGCCAGCGACTGGTGCGACGATTGGACCACTATTTCTAGTTTCTACTTTACCAGGTTTTTCCTTTCTTCTTATTTCCAAGATATTCTTTGCATTATAAATTTGAGAAGGTACAGTGTTGTTTATTTATTTATTTTACTTTTATTTTTGTTTCGTGTCATAAATCGCTTCCTTAAACTCTGCTTGATTTTTCAAACCAAATTCAGTTTAGCATATATCATTGTAACCGGTAAATATTGATGAAGGATTTTAACAAAATCCTGAAGGGTATGTCTTCACTTAACTTGAGAATCGTCTCTCTGATCTGAACTATCTAATTGTAATTAGGACTCAGGTCAAGGGGTAACTTGAGAATCTATGTAAATTGACCAATCATGAAGAATAATTAATGAGGGGTTGCCTCTCATATAAGAAAGAGGGACAAATGTGGTAATTTGTTTCTTTGTTGACCTTGGTTTCCAATTGTTAATTTGGAGAGAGCAGTTTAATTACTTTGCTTGGAAGTTAATGTTTTTTTAGAACAATTTTCCTGCAGATTTTTCGGGTTTGATGATGTATTTAGCTATTACATCTTTCGTATATTTTGTTCTACCTTTCTTTACCGTAGTGTGCTGCTCTTTAAGTTAATAAATGATCACTCTCTGTATTCGTTAATTTTGTCTATTTTAAATTATAATGCTGATGATTATACAAAATTTTCAACCAAGTATTCTATGAGTTATGGCGTATTTTTGCAATGCTATATATCTTTTTAGATTAGCATGGTTGTTGTATTTGGTTAATGTTGGGTCTGTTCCTACTTTATACTTTCTATGTAGACGTTCCTGCAATACATTTGAATCATAGCTCTTTATGGACAAAACACTTGAGAAACGAAAAGTCGGAGTTCTTCCCAACAGAAAGAGGCCGAGAGTTGATGATAAAGATGGAGTAATTCATCATGTCAAGGAGGCTTTGGATGAATATCGAGAGATATTAACTAAGCTCTTGCAAAAACATGATAGTGAATCCAACCAACAAGTTTGTTTGAGGCCTGATATTGAAGCAGCAATGTGTCAGAGAAAGAAAGGACACTTGGTTAACACGAGGAAACAATTAGGACCGATTTCGGGAGTGAAGGTTGGTGACGAGTTTCGCAACAGGGCTGAACTAACTGTTGTTGGCCTCCATCATAAGTTTCGTCATGGTATTGAGTATATGAAGAAGGATGGGAAAATTTTGGCCACAAGCATTGTTAATTCTGGCCGTTACGCTAACCATATAGCATCTCCTGATATCTTGACTTATTCAGGTGAAGGTGGAAATCCTAGGGTTGATCCTAAAAAGCCAAAGGATCAAAGACTTGAACGTGGAAACCTTGCACTAAAGAATAGCATGGAAGAAGGAACTCATGTAAGGGTAATTCGTGGTATTAATCGTTTTGAGGTGGGCACACGTGCTAAGAAAAGTTCTTTCAGAACTTATGTTTATGATGGTCTCTACATAGTAGATAGTTTTTGGCAAGAAAGAGAGGAATTTGGCAAACTTGTGTTTAAATTTTTGTTGAAAAGGATATCGGGGCAACCAATAGTCACATGGGGAAAAGCTTTGGACAAGTCGAAAAAACCTACGGTTTCAAAGGATATTGTTTGTAAAAATGACATCTCTGAAGGGAAAGAGAAGATGCCTATTCGGGTGGTCAATGCAATAGATAGGGCGAGTCCTCCAGCTTTCATTTACATGCGCAATGTCATTTATCCAGATTTCTTCAAGGCGACAAGAAAAGGGGGTTGTGATTGCCTTCATGGATGCTTAGAATCCAAGTCATGTTCTTGTGTAATGAAGATTGCAGGGGTTTTGTCATACAACAACACGATAACAGACAAGAAATCCCTTATTTATGAGTGTGGTACTACGTGTAAGTGCTCTTCTTCTTGCAAAAATAGAATTAGTCAGCATGGCATTCAGTTTAAACTTGAAGTCTTTAGGACAAAATCAAAAGGATGGGGTGTCAGATCACGATCATATATTCCACGAGGAAGTTTTATATGTGAGTATGTAGGAGAAATTCTACAAGATAAAGAAGTCAAACAAAGAAGGGGGTTTGTCATTGATGCCACACGACATGGGAATGTGGGAAGATTTGTCAGTCATAGTTGTTCTCCTAATCTATTTGCTCGAAGTGTCCTCCATGATCATGACGACGTGAGAATCCCACACATGATGTTATTTGCTGAGAAGAACATTCCACCGAACCAAGAGCTAACTTACGATTATAATTCTATAGTAGGTAAGATTTTACTATAAGATGGTCATTTCAGGATGAAAGTTTGTTATCATGGTTGGATGTTGCGAAGACTCGTATTATTGGAAGAAATTTAGTTAGGTGCTAACTGGTTAGTAAGTTAGTGAGGCTCTGACTACTAGTTTGGACCCACTCCACAATGTCATATCTTGATACAAATTGTTGATTTGTTAGGTCATCATTCAAAGATCACCCTTGCAATTGTGCTTCTTTAGGAAGCACTTCCAAGTGATTTTTCAAGAAGCACTTGGGTTGTTCACAAAAATTTCGACATTCTTCTAATAACGCTTTTGTTAATAAAAAAACTCTTCTAACAAAAGCGAAGAGCCTTCTATAGAAGTATTCCCAAACGGCCCTTAGTCATCTAAATGTGATCAAAAAAATAAACTAACATAATTTTTTCTATAAACAATAAAAATATTCTCGATATCAATAAAATGGTTAAATGATCCATTTAGGTAAAATTTTGTAAGGGTGATCGATGAATGATGACCTAAAAAGTGAACCGTTGGATCATGAGATGACATTGTGGAGTGAGCCGGAACGAGTGGTTAGCCCCAATTAACTTACTATCTAGTTAGTGCTTGAGCATTATATATATATCCAGAAATTTTCCTATGCGGACGTTCAGACGTTATTATCGTGTGGATTTCCGGACGTTATTATCGTGCGGATGCCATGTATTTTCTACTACCCATTCCTGTTTTCCTCCTGGTTTATAATGGCATTTGCACGATAATAATGTGCGGACATCTAGATGAGAGAATAACTGTTAGATTTTCTCATATGTGGACATCTGGACGTTATTACAGTATGGACACCGTGCATTTTCTACTACCCTCCCCTACTTTCCTTGTTGTTTTGCAATGGCTTCCACACGGTAATAATGTCTGGCCGTCCGCATAAGTCAAGTACTGTAAATATGTTCATGCATATTTATTATTTATTGTGTTTCATAATGGAAATGTATTATTTATCTATGAATATATATACAATAGAATTCAAAGCTGTTGCATGCAGGATCACGTCGTGGTCCTCTAGAATTAGTATCTTTAGTTTCTTTAAAAATAGTTCTCTTCCAGATCATGCATTTTCAAAACTTACTTAAAAGGTTTAGTTCAGTTAAATGTCAAAACAGAACTAGCTGTGTGTAAACTTATCATTGAACTTTATCAGCACAAGCTTTTTATGTGTAAAAGAAATGTGATGTTGTATCTTAAGACTGCATAGCTTATATTGTGGAACATGGTTCTCCCAATGTAGTTATTTTTTACTTCAATTTTTATTACTCATATTTGGTCTTGGATGAGGCTGTAAGTGTCTTGTGTAATGATTATGAGATAATGCTCCTGCTTGATGCAGGCGATTCGAATGGCACTACCATCAGAGAAGCTCTCCTCGACAAACCATCTGGAGTTGCACCTAATATCATCTAAGGCAACTCTTTTTAGCCAACGGAGGTATGCTCTCGTGCTATAGTTTCGATGGTTTTCTGACGTTTTGATTTTCTCGAAGCAATTTTACTGGACGTATGCTTATGTCTGATCATTCTATCGCAGAAATCTGAGGAATGAATTGAAAAAGTTCAAGTTTGCTTTGGTCATTGTGCAGAGTCTGCCGCATATTCTAATTATTTATTTATTTCTGTTTACACAAGTAAACACTTCAGCAGAGGGTTTGCTTTTTTTCCAGACATATCGCTGATGCTGCCGCTAAGCTTGCCAAAAGGAGTTTGTGCTTTAGTAAGTGGGCCACGTTTCCCCCACCCTCCTTTGGTCTCTATTCTGTCGCGATACGATCTGCCAGCCCCTACGTGATCGAGTGGTCTTTTGTTGCTTAGGCTGGTTTTAGTTTGGTCCAGCTGTTTGACTCTGTACCTATCTGCAATGTTCAGTCTCTAGTTTTTGTGTGCTCTTTTTCTGTTAGTTACTTCTGGTGCCGCCTTTCTTTGGGCATGCTTTGCTTTGTATTGTTTTCTCCTCTGCCTGCCTTTTCTGGGGCCTTTTAATGAAGTATCTTTCGACAAAAAAAAAAAAATTCCTCAGAATATTGTTTACTAACCATAAGCTTGGGGAAAACCATATATACTTTAGTTATAAGGTTTGGGGAAAATAAATATCTAAAATTTCCCAGAATCTGTAATGAGAAACCTTCAATTGGAAGCCTGTTGTTTTGTAAATTTCCACAACCGGAACACTTCTAGACAACCAAAGGGTTTTCGTGTGGAACTGGGTTTCAGCTCTGGTCCTTTTTAATGTTGGAATTTTGCAGGTTTGTACTTAAAAGCGTAATGATCTGTTGCCGTGTTATTTTTCAGTCTGGTGATAAATGCAGGGGTCTTTCGATGAAATATCAAGATATGAAGTGTTAGGTACAGCAGCACCATAGCATGGGCAACGTTTTGTTTTGTTTTTGGTTCTTTGATCAGTTGGATTGAGCAGTTGGGGTCAGTTTTGTGTTCTTTGATCAGTTGGATCCTCTGTAGTTAGATTCCGAGATGTGATTGGCCAAGTTTTTTCAGGAAAAAGAATATGATAATATTTTATAACTTGTTCATTCTTGCGGCCTGCCTGAAGTTATCCATATTCATGAGAAAAGATTGCTCCAGTTTGAAACCGTAAAAGAATTAAAAGGTAATCGGAAATGATCATGATAAGAGGTGAAGTTTGCTCTTTATCTAGAAAAGGTCCTCTATTTGAATCTTTCACTCACTTAATTTCAGAACAAGACAAGTCAACAGATTCATCTACATCCATTAAATTATATTCTTCTGGTTCTGGGATTGTGAAGAAGTGCTCGTGGGGCTTCATAACTCGCATTAATCCTTGGCTTGTACATGTGCAACGGAGACTTACTTTCTAGGTTGGAAGTCATAGATGCACGCCAACCTGAAACTAAAACCCAAAGATCCAGAGATGCATGGGGTAGAACATCATAAATCACTGGTATTCAATTCGGATAACGGGGCAGTAATAAGCATCTCTCAAGGTTGAGAGAGTAAACTAAAAGGAGAGGCGATTCCGATAAGACATGTAAACTGACTTCAACTTTTCTCAACCAATCCTCGACCAACCGCTAATAAACAATCGGGGTTAATGACCTAAATGGTCCCCCAACTATTGTCCCAGTATCATTTTGGTCCACCAACTAAAATTTTCAATTCAAACGTCCTTAAACTTTTTATTTTGTACAAAGATGGTCCATCCGTCAAAGTCTGTGTATTATTCCGTGAAATCGAGGGACAAAACTGTATTTTTAGATTAGTATCCTCCTCTAAAAGGGTTATTGATCCCAATGGTCCCCAACTATTGCTCTAGTATCATTTTGGTCCACCAACTAAAATTTTCATTTGAACCGTCCTTCAACTCTTTTTTTTTTGTATCAAGATGGTCTTATTGTTAAAGTCTGTCAATTTTATTGTTAAATTGATGGGTAAAAATGTATCTTTGAATTAAAATAGTAATATATAATTAAAAATTAAAGGAAACTATTATAAAACTTAAAAAAATTAAAAAAATTGAATGTCACCAGCCACATAGCTTTTTTTTTTCGTGAGACTGACCTAACAATTAATAATAAAAAATTCTCTATTGTATAAATTAATTAAAATCACATAAATATAAAAATAAAATAACAATTTTTTTTAAAAGAGTAAACAATAATTAAAAATTAAAGGAAACTATTATAGGAACTTGTATCTAATTTTACAATTGAAAAAATTGAATCTCACCACCAACATGGCTTTTTTTTGCTGACATGGACTTAAAAAGTAATAATTTTTTTCTCTATTGTTTAAATTAATTAAAAAATTTAAAATCAGATAAATACAAAAATAAATAACAATAAAATTGACGGACTTTGACGGTAGGACCATCTTGATACAAAAAAAAAAAGAGTTGAAGAACGGTTCAAATGAAAATTTTAGTTGGTGGACCAAAATGATACTAGAGCAATAGTTGAGGGACCAGAGGTATTTTGGTTTTGAACGATAGAGCTTCTCAAAAAGTCGCATATACCCTTCAAAACTCAGTCACGTGGCCATCGCGTGATCAGAAGTAACGGGATCTGTAACGGATGGACCATCTTGGTACAAAATAAGAAGGTTAAAGACGTTGTTTGAATTGAAAATTTTAGTTGGTGGACCAAAATGATTGTGGGGCAATAGTTTGGGGACCATTTAGGTCATTAACCCTAAACAATCGTAAACAAATTTTGTCCCCTACACATTAAACCACCAGTAACTGCTCCCAACCGCTCTGCAGTACATTCCCCGCACCACTTCTTGTATAATGTCCACTGGAAAAATAATCTCCTTTACTGCCAGTAAAACCCAAGCAAGCAACCTGAAAATTGCCCTGCATAGATCAGTGAAATTAATATGATAACAAACTCATCACAGCAAACAAGTAACAAATAACTACTTCAAAACAAAAATCTTTCGATAAAATCTGTGAAGGATCAAGTGCAAAATACAACTACCAGAAATTTTAACTTCGAGAAGCCTTTCAATGCACAATTTTAACATTGAGAGGTCTTGAACTAGGGCCTGAGTCCCATGGGCCGAATTGGGTCGGCTTGGGCCCAATAGGCCAAAGCCCGGCCTGAGGTCCATGGGCCGAATTGGGTCGGCTTGGGCCCAATAGGCCAAAGCCCGGCCTAGCCCATTATTTAGGCCCATCCTGACCCACTCTAAGATTCGGTAGAGCTTGGGCCAAGGTTTTGAAACCTTAGCCCGGCCCGTTGGAGCTTGTTTAAGCCCTTCCCCATTAAGCATGTCTAAGTCCGGCCCAGCGCGCCCATGAATATAACACTATACTTCTTCACTCAATTTTCTCACTTGTCAAGCTTTATTTTCTCAAGTTTCAAACTCCAATTTTTTCAATATCTCTTTAAATCCTCATTCGTTGTTGGTGATGCTCTCATTCCTTTACTATCTCAAATCTTAAGCTCCAATTTTCTTAATCTCTCTAAAACCTCATTCATTGGTGGTGGTGGTGCTCTCATTCCTCTATGGTGGTGTACATAAAATAAAGTAATATGTAGCATGAATTAAACTTCTTATTTTGTTTTACACATCTTATGAATTAAGTTAATTTTCAATAATGTTGTCTAAAATTTGTAACAAAAAGTTATAAGACTTATTAAAAAAAATTTTAAAAGCTCCACCCATCTAAGCCCATGTTCCCGCCCCTCAAGTCCATCTATCCCCGGTGTAATGGGCGGACCTGGGCCAGGGCCAAGACATTTGAAACCTAGGCTCGGCCAATGACGAAACCTGTAGACGTTACCTAGCCCAATGATGAACTGTACCTTGAATGTCTGCAATACCTGAGCGATGTAAAAGAGGTAACTACAATAGAGGGAAAGAAAGGCAAGGTGTTATCGTAGAAAGGCAAAGTATATTATAGTTTTGTTTCGGAGGAATTAACGTTACCTGACTTATGAAGGAGCAGTGTATATTATATGCTAGTTTGTTCTGCATGAACAGTGGCGGTCCTACAGCCAAGGCAGCCTACCCCAAATGTTTTCCCTAAAAAAAAACCCTATATGTAAGCAAAGTTATTCTACCCAGCCATGTGATGGTGTAAACCCATGCCTACCCAAACACATAAAAAAAAAAAGACTTAAAAGCAACCCACATGTGTTATAGCTAGAGGTGTCAAACGGGATGGGCCAGCCCAGCACGACACAACCCTAGCCTGTTTAAATAAGGCACAAAAACTTGGGTCGAGCCGTGCTTGGCATGGCACAAAAACTTGGGCTGGGCCGGGATCAAAAAATTAGGTTCAATGGACTGGGCTGGCCCATGGCCCAACATGGGACGAGCTTGGCTCGAGCCCACTTCAAGCACGACACGAGCCCAAGCCCAGCCCACTTAAAAAAAATTTCTTTCTCAAAAGTCAAAATGCAATAATTTGACATCTAATGTCATTGTTTATATGGTTTTTTTAAAAATAAAAATAAAAAATCATAAACATATATTTGATGTCTTTCATTTTAGGGAAATTACTTGGGTCCTTAATTAATTAAACATATCAACTACAAATTAATTAAACAACATTGGACTTGATATCTAATCAGTACATATGACATATACGCTGCTCTTATAATCAAAGTAAGACATTTCTTCACATATAAAATAATAAGTTGTTTAAAGATGAAAAGTTGAAGTGGATTTTGTGGAGTTGGACACTTTTTGCCTTCCGCCCTTTAATATTGTTTGGATGTTTGATTGATTAATGTTTTCAAATAGATCATCATTTCTTGCCTCTAATTATATTTTTAATGTTTATAATTTGAATTATCTAGTGGAAAAAAAATCAAGTGAAAAAAATTCAAATTAAATGGGTTGGTTCTTGGGCCCAAGTATGGCATGAGCATGAGCATGGGCACGACACGAGCCCGGCCCAGCCCAATGATTTTACTAAGTGGGCTGGCACGAGACGGCCTGATAAATTTAATGGGCCAGCTCGACCAAGCACAAAAACGTTAAAAGCACGATTTTAAATGGGACCGGCCAGCCCGGCACGGTCCGTTTGACACCTCTAGTTATTGGTGGGAATACAAGCAGCCAATTACCTTTCAACTGTGCAATTGTCAATAGTCTTGGTAGCTTCTTCTTGACATTCTCTTTTGGCATCATCTTCTCATATCTAAGGAAACAAGTATTCTTCTTATTCTCTTTTCTTTAATTATCTTCTTCTGTTGGGTTTTTCCTAAAATAAATGTATGCATCTTAATTTTAATTTTAATTTGAAATTGAGTCTTCTACGGTTTAAATAGGAATGAATTATAATTTGGGGATTTTGTTGAAATTAATTTGGTCTTTGATTTTAAGAATTTTGTTGAGATGTTTGATTTGATGTTGGTAGATGTTTGATTTGTTGTTGGTATGTTAATGTTTGATTAAAGGCATTGATGCTATTATGAGAATTTGTTTGATTTTTTGTTGGGATGTTTGATTAAATAGGTTATCTTTTATTATGTCGGATCACAATCGGAACCCCAAGAAAACAAAGAATTTGTTCGTTTTTTTTAAAGAAAAAGAATGATGGGTCATCATCTAATATAATGCCTTCCATTTGTGATGAGCAAAATCTTCTCAACTCTCCCATTGTCGAGTCTCAAGTTGAAAGAGTTGAAACCCAAAGAGTCGATAGTGGTCAAGATTTTAATATCAATTATCTTGAGCGTGATCTGGGATTACATCGTCAAATATGCCAATATTCGGTGAATGAACAAGATAATAAAGCCTATATTATTTTAGGACCATGTCAACCGGAGTTAGAAGACTATCCAAGCCATTTAGAAGGGCGAGACTTATGTCGATTTATAAATTGTGGTTTGGTAAATTTCCTTGGCTTGAGTATTCAGATGCAGAGAGTACCTATATTGCTATGATGTCTTTTGAGTTTGTGTTTTCATTGGTCTTGATGGATAAAATTATAGGATTGACCAACTTTCTTTGTCAAGTGTTTCAGACAAAAACTCAAGATTTTGTAAGTGCTTTAAATTTTGTTGAAAACACAAAAATGCAGTTCCAAGATATGAGGGAACATGACTAGGATGATTTATTCATAAGTGTGGTATCATTTTGTGAACTACATGGTGTTGATGTTCCCGATATGGGTTCTCGTTATATGACGGGCACACATCGTTCTTGTCAACAAAAAGATTTTATTACAGTTGAACATTACTATTGCATTGATGTATTTAATGATGTGATAGATTGCATGTTGAGGGAGTTAAATGACAGATTTTCAGAGCAAACAGTTGAACTTCTTATTCTTAGCTCAGCATTGGGTCCTCGTAATTCCTTCAAGTCATTCAATATTGAGGATCTATGTAAACTTGCTAAGAAATTCTATCTTGCTGATTTCATTCCAAGTGACTTGAAAGCTTTAGAAATTGAGTTGATGTATTTTCAAAATGATATGCGTCGCCTTCCCTGCTTTAAGGAAATCACCACTCTTCCTCAGTTATGTCAACAATTGGTGGAAACAACTTTGGTAGAAAACTACCATTTGCTTTACAAATTGATTCGGTTGGTGTTGACTCTTCTCGTTTCTACAGCAACAACGGAACAAACTTTTTCATGTATGAGAATTATTAAGAATAGACTTCAGAGCACCATAGCTGATGAATTCCTTGATGATTTCATGATCCTCCACATTGAAAGAGAGTTTGCTAATAGTATCGATAATGCAGAGATAATTGAGGAATTTAAGATTTCTAAGCCTTGTAGAGTCGTAGGGTAAAGTTTTAGATTTAAATAGGTTAGCTTTGTGTTGCATTGCATTTATTTATTTATTTTAGTTTTTTTTTTGTTAAGCTTTTATTTATGTATAGAGATGCATATATTTTAGGGTAAGGCTCATTACGTCCCCCCAACTGAGTTTTTAAGGTAAGTTTTGCCTACTTTACTTTTGAATCCTGGATCCGCCACTGTGCATGAATTTCTTCTTTTCCATCCATTCGATTGGCCATTCCCAACCTCATAAAGAAGTATGGTTCTTCTTAGAAGCTAACTAATTAATAAGGAAATATCATACTTTGAATCTAATTAGCAACTGGGACATGTTGGTCATGTTGGATTACTTGCCTTTAGATTTTGAACTTCTGATGAGGATGTGAAGAATTAATTAATGGTGTCAATTTTTTGCTTATCTGTTTACATGATTGGAAAAGCCAAGTGACTCAACCTGATGTGTATCCAAACAGAGAAGTTGAGCATAAGAAAGAAAACCACCAAGAACCCATTTTTTCTGTTGCCTTAATTTTAATTTTTGCTTTTTCAAGAACGACTTTAAATTTAATAATTTCTTAATTGGGTTTGTGGGTCAACTTTTCGTAGTGGCAAAATCTGGAAAGTCGTTTCGCAAAAAACCAAAAAAACAAATTTGGAAAGTCATTTGGCAAGAAAAAAAATCTAGAAACTCGTCAATGCATAGGATTCCTTTTCTGTGATAAAAAAAAAAAAGGATTCCTTTTCTAAGACTTTGGGGTTAAGAAATAGTCCCCATCTATTCAGGGATTCCTTAAATAAAATTATTTAAGGGACACCCTTTAGGGCACTCTACGAATTTTTTTCCAACGATCCAAACCATCTATTTTTTAAGTCTATATTTATAGATCACCCTAGCTAAAAATTAGACAAATTGGAAACCATTTCTACATCCAATTGTGTCCTACAAAATCAATGAACACGGTGTTTCAAGAAAATACTAAAATTTCAATAACACATTTGAGTGGTCAAACGATATCGGATTCAAGTGATTTTTTATAGATATGATTTTTGAATGATTATCTAAAACATAGACGGTTTGGATTAGTGAAATACAATGTGAAGTGGGCCCGACAAAGGTGTCCCTCAAATAAGCTAATTTGAGGGATCCTCAATGGAAGCCTTGCACTAAAGAATAGCAAGGAAGAAGAAACTCATGTAAGGGTAATTCATGGCTTTAAACATTTTGAGGTGGGTACACGTGCTAAGAGAAGTTCTTTCACAACTTATGTTTACGATGGTCTGTACAAGGTAGACCATTTTTGGCTAGAAAGAGAGGAATTTGGCAAAATTGTGTTTAAGTTTTTGTTGGTAAGGATAATGGGACAACCAATAATCACATGGGGACAAGTTTCGCAAAAGTCAAAAAAGCTTATGGTTCCAAAGGATATTGTTTGTAAAAATGACATATTTGAAGGGAAAGAGAAGATGCATATTCGCGTTGTCAATGTCGTAGATAAGGAGAGCCTGTTATGTTTCATATTTAGATCGGTGCACTAGATACTAAGTTAAATCAGGTTTTGATAAAAGTTTAAATTAAGTTATACCTTGAGGCCCAAAACCTTGTGGAATAAGGAAAAGTTTTGAAGCCTATTAAGGAGTCCTATTTATTTCCTTTTTTGAGTGAACCGTTGCTTGGTGGGCTTGGAAGATTAGTCAGGTCGGCCCAGGGTGATGCGTAGAGACGACTTGACCTAGCCTATATAAGCTTAAGGCCCTGCTCTCGTCAGACACGTTCTCTAATCCTAATCTCATCTTAAAGAGAGAGCTGTAACAGATTCTGAGAGAGAGCAGAAGTCTTGAGCTGTTCCTGTTCTTGCTGGGATTGTTGTTGCGGCGGTTGAATGAGTTCAGAGGTCGTGTACTCAAGAAAGATGGCGCTAGGTATGTCTTTACATATTTCAGGTTGTGTGAAAGATCATGAACATGCATATAAAGAAATCTAAGAGTTGGTATCAAAGCACATGGTTATTCACACACACTGAAATCGTTTTTCAAGCATTCCTATTACGATTTCTTATCTGTTTATGCCATGATGAGTTTTTGGTTATGTTTAAAATATGAAGATGGAATAAACATGTTTTTTTTTCTTCTAAATATCAAGAATATTAAAGAATTTGGAAAACCATATTTTAATTTGATTTTTCATATCTTCAAAACTTTAAACATGTTGTGCTAATTAGGTCATTCCCTATTTAGAAAGGTGTTTTGTATAAAAAAACAGACACCAAAAACCCCTAAAATATTGTTCTCTCTTGAACTATGTCTGTTTGTTTATTTTCTAAGCTAGATAGGTGCTTGTCTTTGTTATGAGAATCAACAAATTTTTCATAATAAAACCAAACCTAAATACTCAAACCCTAAAGAAATAACCAAAATTGCATGATACCTAAATTGCTTGATAAGTTTCTTCAACAAATAGAATCTATCTTGTAATTTGTTTATGATGGCACAAGATAACACGTAATTTGTGTAAGCTATAAGTAATCTCTTTCCACAAAGGTGTGATACTTAATTAAGGAAGCTTGCATATGTTATTTGTTAGTTTTGTGAATAAAGTTAAACGGAAAAACTGTTTTCTCTTAACAAATTGAGAATCGGTTTCTTGGAAAGTAATTATGCTTTCTTTTGCAAATCCTTCCAGCTTTGAACACTCCCTCAATCAATTTCTCACAAATTGAAACTCTTACTGGATCGAATTTCAAACGATGGAAGTTCGATCTTGAAATTACACTAGGCATGAGTGATATCGATTATGCTATCACCCAAAACGAGCCAATTAGACCCGTTGCGAATTCCCCTGCTGAAGTTAAAAGGGTGCATCAAGCTTGGAGGATGGCGAATAAGGTTTGTCTGTTGGTTATGAAGAAGACTATTACGGAAGTTGTTTTTGGTGGAGTTCCAGAAACAGAAAGTGCCAAGCAATTTATGGAATCCATAGAAAGGAAATTTAAGGAATCTGACAAGGCTGAAACGAAGAACCTCATGTCTAGGTTGGCTAATACGAAGTATGAAGGAGGCACCGTAAGAGAACATCTCATGGGACTCGTGGATATTGCTGCCAAATTGAACATGTTGAAAGTACCTATTGATCCAACTTCTCTAATGCATATTGCGCTAGATTCCCTACCTTATGAGTAGATGAAATCCACCTATAACACCCTAAAAGAGGATTGGACAATGGATGACCTAATTACAATTGCTGTTCTTGAGGAGAATAGGACAAAAGCTTATGGTGGTGTGGTTAACGTGGTCACTGCCAGGAAGTATGAGAATAAGGGTGCTGCAAAATCAGGAGTAAAGAAGCAGAGTTAGTTTCAAAAGAACAACCCTCTTGGCGTGACCCCTACCACTGAATTCAAGTGCTATTTTTGCTAGAAGGAAGGTCACATGAAGAAGAACTTCAACAATTACAAGAAGTGGTTCGAGAAGAACAAGAAGGTAATAAATAATTAGTCCTAGTGAGTTTTGAGTCTAATTTAGTGGATGTTCCTTCTAATTCTTGGTGGTTAGATACGGGTGCCTTGATTCATATACCTCATAATGTGCAGGAATTCATAAGAAGGAAGGAACCTAGAAAGCATGAAGTTAAAGTGTTCGTGGGGAATGGAGAGTAAGTAGATGTGGAAGCCATTGGAGCAGTACACCTGCAATTGGATTCAGGATTTATTTTAGAGTTGGATGATGTAGTTTTAGTACCCTCAATGAAGAGGAATTTGATTTCTGTTTCAAGATTATCAAGACTTGGTTTTGTTTTTCAATTCAATAAAGATGGCTTTGTATTATCTCAGAATTCAAATGTTCTTGCTATTGGTTTCCTCTCAAATGGATTATACTGTCTCAATTACAATAAAGATGGTGAAGTTTTAATGGCTGAATCCAGTAAGAAAAGGATTAGAAGTGAAGGAACATCCACTAGGTTATGGCATAGACGTTAAGGGCACATTTCAAAAGAAAGAATGAGTAACTTTCAGTGATGACGAAATTTGTATTGAATGTGTTAAAGGAAAACTCACTAAAACTAAGAAGAAATGTGCAACTCGCAATAGTGATCTTTTAGAAATCATCCACACAGATATTTGTGGACAATTCCCTCATGAAAAAATTGATGGAAATCGCTATTTCATCACCTTTATAGATGACCATTCTCGTTTTGGTTATCTATATCTCATAGTAGAAAAGTCCCAAGCTTTTGAAATGTTCAAGATTTTTCAAATTGAAGTAGAAAGACAACTTGAGAAGAAGATCAAAATTGTGAGGTCGGACAGAGGGGGTGAATATTATGGAAGTTTTGATGAAGGAGGGCGACGAGCTGGACCTTTTTCTAGGTATCTACAAGATAATGGAATAGTTGCTCAGTACACAACACTAGGAACTCCGCAACAGAATGGTGTGGCTGAGAGAAGAAATCAAACTTTGAAGGATATGGTTCGTAGCATGATTTCCAAAAATGATTTGCCTAAGAGGTTATTGGGAGAAGCGATCAAAACAGCAAACTACATATTTAATAGAGTGCCTAGCAAGTCCGTGACTAAGACACCTTTTGAAATTTGGACTACCAGAAAGCCTAGCCTGCGACATCTTCATGTATGGGGTTGCAAGGCTGAAGCTAGAATCTATAACTCTCAAGAGAAGAAGATCAATCCTAAAACGATTAGCTGTCATTTTATAGGTTACCTCGCAAGGTCAAAGGGTTTTAGATTTTACTGTCCAAATTATGGTACCCGAATTGTTGAGACTGGTTGTGCAAAGTTTATAGAGCATGAGAAGAATGCCACTTGAAATGAAGATTTTATTTTCAAAGAAAAAGGTGATGTAGCTGTGATCGAGAATGATGAACAAGATGTTACACCCTTGATTCCTTTAATTGAAACTATATTGGAACCTCCTCAGTTTGAAGAACCAGTTGATCAATAAGAACAAGCTGTCGAGAATCCTGAGCTGGATAACCCACAAGAACTAGTGCAACCGAGG